AAAGGAACAGATAGGGTGAGGGAGAGGAGGGGGAGAAGAAGGGAGAGGATAGGGAGGGACAGAGAGGAGACGGGGAGGAGGAGGGAGAAAGAGGAGGGTGGGGGAGGGAGGAGAAGAAAAAAAAAGAGGAGAAAGAGGATGATCCAGAATAATCTGTTCTGCATATAGAATGAAAAGATACGGAGACAGGACACATTCCTGACTCACATCCTTCCTCGTTTTGAACCATGCAATGTTTCCCGGCTCAGTTCTAAGGACTACTTTCTGGTCCATGTGTAGGTTTCACAGAAGCACAACCAAGAGTTCTGGATTCTCATTTTCCTCAAGGTTAGCCACAATTTGTCATGATCCACACAGTCAAATGCCTTTACATGCCTTTTGTTTCAATGAAACAGAGATAGACATTTTTCTGGTACTCTCTGCTTTCTGCCAAGATCTGTCTGACACTGGCGATAATGTCGCTAGTGTCATGGCCTCTTCGAAATCCAGTTTGTATTTCTGGTAGTTCGCCATCATTATACCGTTCCGGTTGATTCTGATTACTCTTCACTAAAATTTTTCTTGTGCGTGCTTTTAGTCATATTGTTTGATAATTTTCACTCTGCCAGGTCACTTTTTTTTGAATGGTAAGAAATATGTATCTCTTCTAGTTAATTTACCATATAGTTGTCCTCCAGATTTCTTGGCACAATCTGGTGAGCACATCCAGGGCAGCATCTGTTTGTTAAAATATGTTAACTGGTATTTCATCAATTCTTGGGGCTTTATTTCTTTGCCAAGTCCTTCATAGCAGCCTGAACTTCCTCCTTCATCATTACAACCTCTTCATCATATGTTGTTTCTTGAAATTCTTCTGTGTCAGCCAATTCTTTTTGCTACAGTGACTCTGTATACTCTTTCTATCTTCTTTTAATGCTTTCTGGATAATTCAATATTTTGCCTGTAGCATCATTAATTATTGCAAGACTTGCATTATTCTTCAGTTTCTTTAGCATAAGAAATGCTGAGCAAAAAATAAGCTCTTTTGATTTTGAGACTCCAGTTACCTTCCAGCTGCTCTTCGAAATTTTCTATTCAGCTCCTTAACTTCTTGATTTCTTTCCTTTGCTTTGGCTTCTTGGTACTCTAGTGCAATTCCAAGTCACTTCTGACATCCTTTTTGGTCTTCTCTTCTTCTGTCTTTGTAATGATCTTTTGCATTCTTCACCAGTGATACTCTTGATATCTTCCCACAGCTCATCTGGTTTTCATTCAAGGCCTCAAACCTGTTCCTGAGTTGGTTTTCAAATTCAGGTGGAACATACTCAAGGTCAAATTTTGATTCCTGCGGATTTTATTTGACCTTCTTTAACCTCTCTCCATTAAGAACAATGTTGGCTCTTGGGTTTTCATAAATACTTTTTACTATGTTGAAGATTATTTTACCTTCTTTAGGTTTAATTTGAATTTGCGTATAAGTAGTTGATGGCCTGTCTGCAATCAGCCCCTAGCCTAGTTTTCACTGCTGATACAGAATTTCTCCCAAAATTCCATCCACAGATGTAATAAATCTGATTCCTGTCCATGCCATCAGGTGAAATCCATGTATATAGCCTGCACTTATGTTTCTTATAAAAGATATTTTCAATGAATAAATAATTGATTGGGCAGGATTCTATCATTCTACCCCCAGCATCAAGTCCATGTTTTCTGACTACTGATCCTTCTTCCTGGTTCCCAACTTTTGCATTCCAATCACCTATTATTATTAATGCATCTTGGTTGCATGTTGATCAATTTCAAGATAGATATTGAAATTTTGCATGTACAGGGCCAGTGAAAAAGAGGAAGATCCTTAATGAGATAGGGTGACACTGTGGCTGGAACACTGAGCTGAAACAGCAAAAATTTTAAGGATAGCATAGCACTGGACAGCATTTTGTTTTGTTTTCCTTCTACATAGGGTACCTATTACTTGAAACCAACTCAAGCACCTAATGACAATAACAGCAACAGCAAATATTTATGGAAACACACTGTTACATCTTTTTCCTACAGATCTGCTGTTGGTTTTGAATTTCTAACCTTTCTGCTAACAGTTAAATGTTTAACCACTGTACCAACTTATAGCTAGCTACCTGTTCCAACTTACAGTGACCCCAACACTTCTGCATAAAAGACAAAAGTCTCATGAATCTAGGGTAGACAAAGATAGGACAACAACAAGCCACAAAATAAAGAAAAGTATCAAATTGGACTTCACAAAATTTTAAACTTTCTGCTCTTTGAATGACACTTAAAAACTGAAAAGTCAAATCACATGCTGAGGGGAATAGTCAAAATACTTATTTGCGACAAACAAATTCTTTTGAAAACACATAGAAAACCTCAGTAAGATACATAATACGTGGCCAAAATATTAGGACAGACCTTCTGCAAAAGAAGTGTATTAATGACTAATAATCATAGGAAGTGATACCTAACATTTGTCATCAGAAAAATACATATTAAAATCACGATTCAGTATTCGGCAAATCCCATTGCTGTTGATATTTACTCCAACCCATGGTGAGTTTATGTGCAACAAAGCAAACATGATATTGACAAATGACATTAAAGCTTCTAAATGTTGTTCCTAGGTGCTGTTGAGTATGACTCATAGTGACCTTAGGGAAAAAGGTCTGAACCCAGTCCTGTCCTGCACCATCCACACAATTCCTGACACACAAGAGCCCATTGCATCAGTCAGAGTATCAATTGGCCTGATTGAGGGTATGCCTCTCCCTCACCGCCCCTCCACTCTTCCCAACTTTGTGTCCCTTTCCAAGGAATACCAACTCCAAAGTATGTGAGGCAAAGCCTCATTATTCTTGCCTCCAAAGAACACTCCAGCTGCACCTCTCTAAGACATACCTGTTCATTCTCTTGTCCATCCATGGGATGTTCAGTGCTCTTCTCCAACACCACAGCTCAAAGGTGTCAATTCTTTTTATGGCATCCTTATTCATTTTCCAGGTCTCGGACACATAGCTAATAATCAGAAAGACTATATATCCTGGATCAGACAGTGCCAATGATGATGTGAAGGAAACCTCACACATTGCTGGTGGGGATGTAAAATGATAAAATTACTTAAGAAAACCATGGCAGTTGTTGATAAAGTTAAATATATGATTTACTTATGACCTAGTAATCCCAGTACTGGTTATTTACCTTAGAGAAATAAAACTACTTCTCTCAGTGACTTTACATCATCATTTGTTCAGAATGTCACAACTAAAAAAACCCCTAATTGTCCATGTTGTTTTTGTTGATTGCTATTGAGTTGAGTACGACTCATAGTGACCCTATGAACAAAAGGCCTGAAGCCTTTCTATAACTATCATCTTTTTTCAAAGTTTATAGAGTTTCCAGAGTTACGTTGTTTAGGAAGTGGATGACAGACACTCCTGCTTCCAAAGTTATTCATAATTGGGTGATTCAATAAATCATGAACAGCTGTGTATGAATGGAAATATCAATCAGCAATGAAAGAGTCAACAACAAATACACTAACATAATTGAATGTAAAAAATATACTGAACAAAAGAAACCATACACAAAGAGAATAGTCAGTGATTCCATTTATGTGAAATTTTGCTATATTCTATACTATGAAGTCAATCATTATCTGCCACAATCCTCTAAGAAGCACAGAGTAGAAATGCCCCATCAGGTTTTCTAGGCTTTAATCTTCAAGGGAATTAATTGCCAGGTCTTCCTCACTGCTAACTGGACAGGTTAGAAGTAGAAGGTTTAGCCATTGCACTCAGAATTCCATTTAAGAACTTCTGAAAAGACATTCAATCCAAAAGGATGGAAAGTGGTTTCAAAATCAGGTAGGATTGGGGATGGAGAACTATTTTCTGAAGTGCATACAAGGAATTAATTTTGAGATATGAACATTTCCTATATTTGCTTTGCTAAAGATTAAATAAAAGGATTAAGAAAACCCCCTGAACAAGAATTTAAATGGATAGATATGACAAAATTAATCTAAACATGCATTTATAATGGGTTTGTTGAATCATATGATTTGCATATCAATAAAACCAATAAAATATTAACTACTAAATAATGAAAAAATAAATATATGTCTACTTTAAATCTTAATTCTTTGTCATAATGTACTTGATTTATTATATATACCTTTATAGCAAAAATTAAAAAAAAAACAAACCAACAAACTAGGGGAGATCTGGTGGCCTAGTGGCAAGAAGCTGTACTGCAATCCCAGAGATAATGCGGTTTAAATCCACCAGATGCTCTGCCGAAGGAGGGGCAATCTCCTCCTGTACCAGTCAGATCTGATTTGATGGTACAGACACACACAAAATAATAAAATAAAAAAAATTTTAAAATACCCCAAAAACCAAAAAACTAAAGCCACTCAAAACAGTAAAGTTGCAGAAATAGAAATGACTAAAAAACCCTCAAATTCATTGCTGCTAAGTTGGAATCGACTCATAGTTGACTCTTCAGGCATTCAGAGGTTGTAAATAACATGGGAGGAGAATGCCCATGTTTCTCCAGAGGATCCTCTGGTGGATTTGAACCTCCAGAGACACTACCTTTGGGTTAACCATGCATATCCCTTTGGACTACACCACCAGAGCTCCCTTAACTATAAGCAATAATCCTTAGTTGATTGGTTGGTGCATGATTAGTCCCAAATCTCATTCTGAAAACATATTCACTGCTATCCACAATTTGGGCCTGAAAAAAAAATGAAGACATTCAGACCATTTGTGGTACTTTATTTTTTTAAGTAAAAACTTTGGTGCAGAGTTCTAGAAATGGTAAGGTTACCCTCTAGCTAAGACCTTATTCAAAGACTCAGAATTTATACTAACCTTTCTTGTTCCATAAGCTGAAAAATATAGCTTCCAGGCAAAATTCTCATGATGAGTTCTTGTCAAATGCTCAGCACTGAAGCAAATCGATGAAGTATTTGTGAAATATTTCCCAAGCAGGAAGCCAGCATGTTTTCAGAGGTGAGATCATTTGCCTGGGTAGATTTAGGGCTGCAGAGTCACATTATATATAGGGATATATATGTCTATATCTCAGACAAAACAGAGCTACTTAACAACAAAGTAGTGCTCCCTAATAAATCCATAGAATAGTTACTATTATATCACTGTTATAGCTATGATATAATCATAGTTAAGAATGTCTGGTAGCCTGAAAGCATTTGTGCTGCTAACCCTAAAGGTGATACCTCTTTGGAAGTTCAAATTCATCAGAAGCTTCTCTGGAGAAAGACAAAACAATCTCTTCCTGTGAGATTTACTGTCTTCAAAAATCCACAGGAGGGGCAGAGCCACGCTCATTCTTGACCAGCCTCCAGCTACTGTGTCCTCCAAGGCACTTTTTTTTTTCTTTTTTAAATTGTTACATCCAAGGGAACCTTGACAATAGCTGTCTCCTGAACATTCCTGCACCGGCCAAGTGGTGCCATGCACTGCGGGTGCCCAGCGTTTGGGGGGTATCCACCCTCTCCCTGGAGCTGCCAGGCAAGATACTCTCCTTGAATTTCTGCTTTCCAGGCCCCTGCCGCCCTCCGCCTGCTTCCAGGGCACTTGGAGACCCAGCACTCGCCAAGCAGCCCTGGCCGCCACAAGCTGCCCTTCTCTGTGGAGGCCCTACTGGCTAGGGCTGACCCCCCACGCGGTGCACCTCAATGGCTGGCCCCCACCACCAACGGTCTGGTCCCCGGGGGCTCTCCTTACGGCACCCTGAGCCAGGTTCTGCCCAACATGTCCTCAACCACTTGCGTGCCCCCATTGGTGGGCATGGAGCCGAATCCGTGGTATGCTGACTTGCTCTCGCAGCGCTCCTGGAGCTTTTGCACCTGGCCACACCTGTGTATCCCAGACTTCAGAGTTCATCATCCCCCAGTAGCCCTGGTCCTCCAAGACAGAGACCAGAGTCCACAGGAGGTAACCATCAGCCAACACAAGCGGAGGAGAACGATGTTTAAGCTGGAGCAGTTGGAGGAGCTGGAGAAAGCGTTCCAGAAATGGAAAAACGTGGTGGGAAAGAAGCGAGCCTGGCTGGCTGCCCGACTCCACCTCCATGAGGACCAGGTGGGCTCTGGGGTGGTGGGGTCTGGGCTGTACGGAAGACAGATGCGATTCTCTGGGAGACCTTGGGTCTTCTCTGTGCCAGACCACTGGGGGCAGACACCCCACAATGAGTCCCACCTGAGGTCACTTTCTAGAACATACAGTGTCCATCCAGATGTTACTCAGGAGCTTTAGAATATCTCTCTGCTAAATAAGGCAGACAGTAAGTGTGTAAGGGTTACCACAATAGAGAATGTAAAAATGTAATAGAAAAATTTAAGAAACATTAAATAATTTTAAAATAGAATATTAATATCATTTATTAAAGTATTTTGTTATATGTACTGTGGAGTTGGAACCAACTCATGCCTGATCCTCTGGCTGGTTTTCAGAGGCAGTAAATTGCGTGGGAAGAGACTGCCCAACTTTCTCCCTCAGAGCAGCTGACAGATTTGAACCATGAACCTGAGGGCCACCAGACCTCAAGTGTATTCTAGTACACTATAAAGGAAGTCTGGAAGCCCCCTCTTAAGGAGTTGTGCTGCAATCCCAGAGGCACACAGTTCAGGTCCACCAGCTGCTCTGTGGAGGAGGGATGGGTGATCTCCTGTGATTTGCGGCCTCTGAGAACCCGCTGTAGGGTTGTCTATGGGTCAGTTCTGACTCAATAAACAGTACACAATAACATAAAGCAATTTTTTATAACATTAAAGGCAAGGATGGTGAAGCATGGTCTCACATGGTCTCTGAGCATGTTGCTGGGAGGGGCCAGTTCTTGGAGAAGGACATTGGCTGGTGGTTTAGAACAGGCCAGGGTTCAGATCTGTTTGTTCATGGGTCGCTATGAGATGAAGTCAACTTCACAGTGCAGAACAGCAACAACATTCAATCGATAAGATGTAATGAGATATGTAAATGTACACAAATTGAACAAGTAGCTTTTGCCATTTCTGTTCACAATGAGGCAAAGTAAAAATTGTCCAGGCTGCGTACACCTCACTTCTAAAACTCCAGTGTCTTCCTCACCTAGTGCCGCCGGAAACAGAGAAACTACGAGTAACTTTAAAGAGCAGGCGTGCAGGCTAAGTGCCCCTCGCATACCTGATCTTGTTCAATTCAAAGATACAAATATGTAATATTTTTAAAGGAATAAATAGCTCCTTGACTCCTGTAAAAAAAAAAAATCCACAGGAGGATGAGTTATGTGTAGTTTCTAACTTGATGGCAATGAATGAATTGAGAATATTATTCTCTAATATCACAGTTTGAACACATTCATTTTGTTTCTCTCTTCTTTTGTCATTATCTAACTTTTAAATGCATATGAGATAATTGAAAAGACTGCAGCTTAGGTTAGACACAGTGTTATGTTTTCTTCTAAAACTTCAAAGGGGTCGTTGTAACAAGAGATTGTCTATCTTCCTTCTGAGGAACTATTGGATTTGAACAACCATGGAGGTACCACCTTTGGGCTAGCAGAGCAACTCTCTACAGACTATGCCAACCAGAGTGCCGTATCAGTAAACAGAAGCCTCAAACACAATTTCCTTTGCTCGCACGATTTAACTTAATTCATCGTTTTGCCTAATATATCAATTAATATTTTATCACAAACACTTAGGAAAAATGTATACTACTAACCTCCATGTTCCAGGCCAAAAGCATTCACATAGATTCCTGGGAGAAGTTTCTTTTAATAAAATGGTATTTTATAATCAATCCTATTGACTAATTTTTTGAATGCTAAATCAATCTTCTGTTCTTGGAACTAACCACCGTTGATCCTAATGCATTAACATTTGTGTTTATTTGGTGTTTTTGGTTCACTGGTATTTTACTGAGATATTTTTTGTCCATGCTTATGAGGAATATTGTCCTGTAAAATTCTTTTCTTTAGTATGGAGTTTAATTTAGTCCAGAGAATAGTTACAAGTTTGCATTCTTACCTACTTTCTGAAAAATTTTTAGTAAAATCAGTATAATTTTAATAAACTTTCCGGTTGTGAACAATTAACACTGACTGTGAAAGGAGCAGATGGAACGTGAGGGTCTGACTTCTAGCCACTTCATAAAGGAGAACTGTTTTCATCAATAATATCCATAGCAGCAAACAGATAGCTGCTAGGTCAGACACACCACCTTCCATGCTCTTGTACTATTTCTACCAATTATATGGGTTCTATATTTGTTGTTGACTCACAGACTTTAATCATAGTTGTGGTACCATCAGCAAGGTTTGTTAGAGAAATAGGTTGGAAAGTGGGAGAG